ACAGGACCCATAAACTTTCTTTTAATCGTTTCTCCGCCAACTTTTGGCAGAATTTTATTTTATTTTATTTTTTTAAAGCCAATATGGACAAACGAGAAAAAATTAAAAGAAAAGAATTGCAGGTGACATTATGCCCCCGTTTGACACCCATTTTTTTTTCATTCTCATTCTCATTCTTTTTCTCTTTTTTCATTTCAATCACACATTCTATCAATAAAATAATATTACACATAAACCTAAAAATTCTCTTTACTTTTCAACCACACATTCTTCCATCAATCACTATTCAAAAACATATTTTTTCACAAAAATGTTTGATTTCTAATAAATATTGGCAAAACTAAACCCAAGATTATTGGAATTAAAGAACGCTAAAGGACCCGTTTTAGCCCCATTTTTTTTTTTATATATATAATGTATTTTGGAATAATGGATAGATGGAGAACGTATGATTAAATATAAAGGAAAAAAAATTTAGATTGTGTGTAGTGTAATATTATTTCATTGAAAAATGTGTGGATAAAAAGAATAGAGAGAAAATGTATTTTAAAAAAAATGGAAATCAAACAATGTCTAACTAAACATTAAAAAAGAAACATTTTCAAGATGGTTGTTATATGTAACTATCTCCATTCACATGACATTTTGATTAATCATGCGAGGAATGGAAAATATGAATAATTCCTAGAGTACAGAATTACTCTCGAAGAATTCATACATGAATTTAAAATTTATCTCACATGAAAGTGGCCCCACATAATTAAAATAATGCCATAAACCTCCCCCACGAACCTATGATGTGTGTGGTCGGACAGGTACAGGAATTTGCACCTATAACTTAACATGAAAAATATTTGAGGTATTATACTTTTTGACTTTTAGGACAATAATTAAACGCTTCCACTCGAGTTGCCTGCTGCAATAATGACTTCCAATCCAAACACAACTTGTCGACCAGTGTGGCACCAGTGTGGCAGTGATTTTCAAAAAGCCAAAGTACATTTGAGATTATTATTTTTAAAAATATATTAGAATAATTTTTTAAAAATATTTTATTCGAGTATAATAACTTTTAAAAGAAACTAACATAAAATAAGTTCTTCTACAAGAAGTATAAACAAAATCAAAAGCCATGTCTAGCCTTCAAAAGAAATTGATATAGAATAAATTATTCTACATGAAGTAGATAAAAAAGTAAAAGTCATATCAAACATACGACCATTTATTTTATTTACAATTTGATTTTTCTTGTGGAAATAGTAACAACCAAAATGAAACCAAGTGACAGCAACTCATAAAAATAAAGTTACCCCACATATGGACATTAATTGCACAAGTTTCATTTTTTTGATACATGGACGGATTCAAGATCGAATTATAAGTCGGATTAATAAGTAAAAAAAATAAATTACACGTGATTTTTTTTAATATAATTTTTTTTTTCTAACTAAGAAAAATTTAGTTTTGTGGGGTGGGGGGTGGGGGGGGGGGGAGCGCACTTCACATGTATTCAATAGAGACAACATAGGATTACTCCACTCACAAAAGTATCATAGCAAGATTTTATCATCTTATGGACATAAAATCTCTTCAGACACTCTTATATAATTTTATTTCGCCACTGTCTGGCCTCATTATTTCATATTATTTCCCATTAATTCAACATTGTCAACTCATTTTCCTTGCCACATATGTATAGACGCCTGCTCACAGTACAATCAATGTCAAACATGATAAATATCAAAAGAGTCGGTTTTGTAAAGGACACATATACCCTCATTTATAAAAATTATTAACGTTGTAAAAGTGGGGCAATATTGCCTTTTATGCATTTGGAGAGGTTTTAGCAAACATACTAAACATATGGCATTAATAATTGTATTTTCTACATCACTGCTATGGTGAACCCTATTGTGTTCAAATTAATGAAATTTAATGGCAATTAATGGGGCCAAATAGGGCCTCATTTTTAAATTTATTATATATAATATCTTCAATAAATACATATATGTGAACATTATCAGTCTTAGTCATTAAACTAAACCCGTATTATGATTTTAATCAACAAGATTTGACTCAATTGATAAATGACACATGCGGATTATCTTATTCTTATTTCTAGACGTAGAATAATACAAACCACACCCCACTTCATTAAGGAGCATTTGGTGCAGATATGTTAAAAATTACCGGATCATCGGTGAAATATGTTACCAGATTTAAGGTGTTAGACAAGTTGGAGAACATCTATGATCTACGTCAACCGCTCCAATTTTGTGCCCTAGAAATCTCGTAAATGCCAAATGTTACATGGATTACAATTGTCTCGACATCAGCTTGTTACTAATTTTTTTAATAATATTTTATGTGTGTCATTTTTTCTAGTGGACATCAACAAATTGTCTTATAAATATCATCCATTAGAGCTTGAGATA